GGAGGAGGGGAGGAGAGGAGGAGGAGGAGGATAGGAGGAGGGAACAAAGGAGGAGGAGGAGGATGAGGAGGAGAGGAGGGGAAACAGGAGGAGGAGGAGGAGGAGGGGGAGGAGGAGGAGGAGGAGGAGGAGAGGAGAAGAGAGAGAGGAAAGAGAAAGAGAAAGTTAGGAGGCAAAAGAGGAGGGAAAGGAGGAGGAGGAGGAGGAGGAGGAGGAGGAGGAGGAGGAGGAGGAGGAGGAGGAGGAGGAGGAGGAGGAGGAGGAGGAGGAGGAGGAGGAAAAAGAGGAGGAGGAGGAGGAGGAGGAAAAAGGAGGAAGAGGAGGAGGTGGAAGAGGAGGCGGACGACGACGACGACGACAACGATGAGGACGAGGACGCGGACGAGGAAAAGGAGGAGGAGGAGCAGGAGGAGGAGGAGGAGGAGGTGGAGGAGGAGCAGGAGGAGGGCGCCATCGACAGGGAAGGTGAGGGCCACGAGGTTTGCCGGCTCGACGCCCGCGTCGCCCGCGCCCGCCCCCTCACTCTTATCCGCATTTCCGGGGTGCCACGTATAAAACATTTTTTTCCGATCTGTATCACTGTATCACTCCTTTTGCTCCCACCACGCTGGCCTGGCGCGCCCGGCGCCGGAGGGCCGGCTGGCTTCTGCCTTGAATCTCGGCCGCTCTGGCGCCTTCGCCAAAAGGAGGACGCTGAGGAACAAGCCGCGCTGTTACGCGCACTGGCAGTGTCTGCGGTCTGCACGGCGCACGGCGACGTCCGCTGCGGGTCCCTCCGCGCGGGCGCCGTCGCCTCCGCTCTCCCCGCTTTGCTGCGGGAGGGCGCCCGCGGCCATTCTGCCCTGGAGTCGCTGCGGCGCTCTGCCCGGCGCCGTCCAGTGGTTTCGTAGCCTCTCTTCCTCCTCTCTCCTCCTTTCGCCGTTGCGCCGACGGCCACGTCGCAAGCGTGCTTCAGCTTCGCGCCAGGCCCGCAAACAGCGCGGCGCTTTCAGCCAGCTTTGCGCTGATACGAGCCAGGGGTATTTCGTATCATTTGATTTGTGTGATCTTCTCTCCTCCATCTTCCTCCTCCTCCTCCTCCTGCCTCGCATCCTCCTTTTCTCCTCCTGTTTTCCCCCCGTCTCCTCGGAGTCGAAGCTGTGTAGCCTACTTCTTTGCGCTTGCACTGCAGTGGTCATGTTGGCGCCCAGACTGACAGGCAGTCGGGCGATGGCCTCCGAGGCCATTACATCTGTGCTTTGGCCCGTTCTCCCAGTTCATTGATGTGCGCGACGGCTCGCCTATGGCAGGTTGGCCTGAGCGCCGCTCTTGGCTTTGAGCGGATTCTCTCCTCCTCTTTCTCCTCCTCTCTTTTTCTCTGCTTGTCTTCTATTGACTGTAGCAACAGTAGCAGGAAAGGGTGGACGCGTTTTCGCCCTCACCAAGCCCAGAAGTGGGGCCGACCCCAGTTTTGGCTCCGGCGGTATTTGCATAATTGGTAAATCCAGAACGGTCTGTCTACCCTAGGCTGTCATCACAAGGTCCTTACAAATTGAGCGTGCCGATCGCCGAGAAGGTGATGACGTGAACCCGGCTGGCCAATCGAGCACGATCGTTCTTTGTTGCGGACGGATATAGCCCCCATGTGGGGAAGTGGATTTGCCCTGTGGGGGGTGGCAAAATATCTAGTGGCAGTTGTGTGATCTAAGCTATGTTGTGCAAGCTACGCGATGTAAGCTATGTGTTGTAGGCTGCGCGGTGCAGCTTCAGTGGTGCAGGGATTGTGGTGCAATCTGTGCGGTGCAAGCTATATGGTGCAAGCTATGCGGCGGCAGCTATGTGGTGCAGGCTGTGCGGTGCAAGCCGCGTGGTGCAAACCATGTGGTGCAGGCTGCGCGGTGCAAGCTGGCTCGTGAGAGCTGCGTCGCCCAGCGCACGAGGCGCCCACCAGGCGCCCGCGGGTGGCCACGGGCAGGTGCCAGGCGAAGCCTCGGCACGCCCGCCCGGCGCACGAGGCGCCCGCGGGGCGCCCACGGGCGGGCCCCGGGCGAAGAAAACCTCGCCAGGCGCCGCCCGGACTCGTGCGCCCTGGCTTCTGGCGGCCGCCTCGCCCGCCGCAGGATGTCGAGGCGCCCATGCCGGGGATCCCGCCGTGCGCCACGGGACGCTTCGGGCCGGGGGGGGGGCGGGAGTTGCCAGGGGGGTCACGGATGGAACTGGAAGGTCCGCAGCGACGATATCACAGAATGGCCACTGCAGTGCTGATGGTCGTCCCCAATGGTGCGCTTTGGTGGCTCCAGCATGTCAATGGACACCCTTTGGCACAGAGCGTGGCTTCGATTATTCATCCGTCTGCAAGCGGTCCTTCCAAAATGCAATACACATAATGTTCAACGAATGACATGTGCACATGCCTCCATTGTTAGTTTTGGCTCGAGTCCAGGGGTCTGGATCGCTGACGTGACCTCAGCACACGCAGGCCGCCGCACACTAGCAATGACGAGCGCGGGGGAGGTCTCATGCAGAAGCGGGCGCAGGTTTACGTTTTCTTGCTGTTGCTGTTCTCTCTGGGTGTTCTGTATCTGAACATCGCGGGGGAGGCAAGGGTCGACCCAACTACTTCCAGAGGCGAGCACTCCCAGGGTGGAGCAGTGGTTTTGTTCACCAGTCAAGGGAATGGGCCCAGGATTCCATGATTCTCTTTGTGTTGCCAGGCCTTTGCGACCCAAGACCAGAGTGGTGCGTCGGAGTGGTCGTTGGAGCCTGGACCAGTAAGATCAGGTGCACGAGGGGGGCAGGCGCCAACGGGGGGAGGGTATCCAGCAGGCGCCCTGGCGTGCATTGGGCATGTGCCTATCACGTGTGCAGGCGCTGAGGCTGAGGTATCGAGCAGGCGTATTGCACGTGGCTCCACGTGCATCTTGAAGGCCAGGGGGGGCACGGTAGGTTCAATGCGGCGCTGACGCGCCAGCGACGCCAGCGAAGGCGTTCGAGGTTGCATTCTGCGACGCGGAAGCACCTGTGAACACGGTAACGCCACTGGACCCGTCTGAATTCAACCTTGAACGACCAGGGCCGCAATCGATTCAAGGTTGAACGATCGCGACGTGGTGTCAAATATCTTTGCGCGCGCCGACGCCGCACGAACAATCTACCGTATTGAACATGCGCGGGCCGCGTTTTTTTGACTTGTGCTTGGCTCTCGCGCGCATCCGGCACGTCTTTTCTTGTCGGGTGAGGGCATGGGCCCAGGATCCTCTTTGTGTCGTGGGGCCTCCGGCCCCAGACCAGAAGGATGACAGGCAGAGTGCGTCGGACTGGCCGTCAGACTCTGGGCCAGTGATACCGCGTGCGAGGAGGGGGCGGGTTGGGCGCCGAAGGGGCGGTATCCAGCATGCGCCTTGGCGTTGTGCCACACGTGCTTTCACGTGCGCAGGCACAGTGGGAAGGGCGTCGAGCAGGCGTCTGGCACGTGATTCGGCGTGCAGTATGCAGACCAGCGTGGGGTATCGAGCGTGCGTGAGGCACGTGCTTGAACTTACGCTTTGCTCTCAAGCGCGCTTGGCGCGCCCTCTGCCCGTGAGGGCGTGCGCCCAGGATTCTCTTTGTATCGTCGGGCGCTACACTGGAGTGGTGGCCGCGCGGGGGGTGGCCTCACGGGCACGTCCAGCGGGCGCCCCCCGGAGGAGGATGAGGAGCGACGAGAAGAATAACAAGGAGACGGAGGCGGCAAGAAGGAGGAGGGGGGGGAGGGAGCAGGAGGGAGTGGAGGGAAGGGAGGGGAGAAGTAGAGGGTGATGGGCGACCTTCGATTTGCCGTCCGCTGTTCCCGACGTTCCCCTCGCTCTGCTTATTTTAGTGGTGTTGCCGAAAGTGTGCATAATGAATTTGTCTTTGGCACGTGCTGTAGGGAGACCCGATTTCGTTTGTGATATTGGTAACGATGATTATGGTAATGATGTGATGGTGGTGACATGACGATGGCGGACGTCGTGACGAAGTCTCCGGAAAACCCAGGTGGCCGCCTCTTGCGGCGTATCGTAGCACATAGCATAGCACACATAGAAATATCGCAGCTGCTTGGCACAAGGCGTGAATAGTAGACATGCCAAGATAAAGTCTGGCTTGAGCTCATTGCCTGGTTCTCGGGCTCCTCAAGTTTTGTGAGGTGGTCCTCCGCCTCTTGGAACGCACAGCGCAGCCTCGCTCCCAGAATAATCCCATCCAGGGTCAGGTATTGGGGCGACCCCCGCTTCCCCCGAACGTCAAGATCAATCAGCCGAGCCTCCTGGACGATACGGACACCAGCCACGCGCGGAGGGGGGCACGCCGGGGGAGGGGGGACGGCTTGTAAGAAGCACCCCTGCTTCTCAGCAGGCGCGGGCCTGACCTGCAGATGCAGCGCCGGCGCCCTCTAAGAAGCACCCCCCCCTTCTAGTGATCGTTTTCTTATTCATTGTTTTGCCGGTCGGCTGGGTCCCTCGCACCCCCTTTCCCCCCCCGTGGAGTAGATCTTGGATGATTTTGGCGCCTGATTCAGGCAGGTGGCGTCTCCTCCCCAGAACGCACCGTTTGCAAACAGTCGCATCAAAAGCAGATGGCTGGAGCCAGACCCCCCCCCTCCTTCCGTAAAAATGTCGGAACGCCGAATCAGAAAACGTTGACCCTAGAAGCCTTCCCCCCTCCCCCGGGATCCGTTTTTCACAACGTCGACCCCCAGAGGTCTGGGCCCCCTTTTCCCGGGGAACGGTTTCTCGTCCTGAGTCGTCTCTTGACAGCCCCGAGGCCGAAAGTGGCGACCCCCCCCCCGTCGTGTTTTTTTGTTTTTTGTTTTTTCACAGCGCGAGGGGGTCTGGGTTCTAAGACGCCTTCCCCCCTGACCCAGATTTCGTAACAAAAGGGAGGAGGTCTGGACCCTCCAAGACAAGCCATTTCAGACCTCCCCCGTGGGAGAACCCTCCACAACATCGCCCCCAGACCCCCCAGGCCCTCCAAGATGGCCTGGAAGAGACCCCCCCCCCCTCGAAATGAGACCCCCCTCCCTTTATAAATTACGAAATCTGGAGTGCCCCCCGCCCCTCTGCGCGCGCCGCCGAGGACGCCCGGACCGAGTGGCCCGGGCCCGCCGAGCCCGCGCGGGCCCCCGCGCTCTCGCAGGGCACCCCGTGCGCCGCCGTGCGGCAGACCCTCCGCTTCCGCACCCTGCGCGCGGGCGCGCCCGCGTGCGCCCGCATGCGCGAGGGCCACGGGGCGGAGCTCGGAGGGGGAGGAGGAGGAGGAGGAGGCTGGAGGAGGAGGAGGAGGAGGAGGAGGAGGAGGAGGAGGAGGAGGAGGAGGAGGAGGAGGAGGCTGGAGGAGGAGGCTGGAGGAGGAGGAGGCTGGAGGAGGAGGCTGGAGGAGGAGAAGGAGGGGAACTGAGGTGCCCATGCCTCTGCCCTGCTCTCGTTTCCCCGTTTTCTTGGGCCTCCTGGAGCGTGTTTCTCTTCCTGCCTGGGGCGCAGTGGGCATGATAGCCCTCGGCGGCCCCTCCCCCCCCCTATAACGTAACGCCCCTCCCCCCCCCCGTGCGCTCCAGGCACTGCCGCCGTGCGCACGGCGAGGGGGGAGGTGTTACATTATACCCCCCCTGCCCCCTCCCCCCCCTATAATGCGCATTACCGCCGGAAATAAGAAATATGCTCCTGGGTGACCCTCGTCGCTACCGCTGGATTCGCGTAGAAATCTTGGTCAGAACGCACCCCGGGAGAGGTCTGGGGGAGTAGCGGTATCGGTGCCTCTCTGGTTTCCCCAGGAGTTCGGCGACTGCGAATCCTGAGATCCTGGCGCTGCAGTTTTTTCATGCCCGGCGCCTTCGCTCCACTTCGGGCCCCGGGGACACCCTCACATGTCGATCCGGCTCGGAAATGGCGCAGAAAGATGGGGTCCAGGGCTGCGGGCGTGATTTCTTACGATGATGCATTTTTTTCCCGACGTCAGATCTAAGGGAAGAGGATGGTTAGGCCAGGGTTCGGGGGCAACGATAGGGGGGGATAAGCATAGGGGGGGATGCATCGACCCCCAATCGCCCACTGATCGCCGATGGGGGCTTGATAGCCCCAACCCGTCCAGGAAGGTGCGGATTCGCCATCGGAGGCCTATCGCCGCTCTATCGGCGATGTATCGCCGACTCCAGGTCGATGTTTCCCCCCCTATCCCTATCTCCCCTATCCCTATCCCCCCGATCCCCCCCCCTACCGTTGCCCCTCAAGGGTGAGGTTTGCGATCGGCACCTTTCTGAAGCACGGGGGCCACGGCGCCGTCCTCGGCGGGCCTCCTCGGGGCGCAGCGGAGAGCCCTGTGAAGGTCCCCGTCCGGCCCCTCCAGGGTGCCCTCCTGGGTTCGACTGCACGTATCCGAGGCGGGAATTTCTATACACGACCACCGCCTGGAGGATCAATCTTCGGGGACCTCGGCAGGCGGTGGATCTGTACACATTCGGGCCCCTGGGGGCCCAAACATATGCATATCCGCCGCCCGCTGGGGCACAAGGGCGTCGGCTCCCAGGCGGTGGGTATGGACAAATCCCCGCCTTGCAACGTAGGAGCGAGCTTTCGCCGGAGTGACCTTTGGGTGCGTGCCCACCGGGGCACCCCCGATCGCGGAACGCGACGCGATCGCAGCGGCTCACGCGCCTGGTGATGTTCCCAAAGGGCCCCCCCTTTGGCCGCACACTCAAGTCGCAGGCGATGTTTCTCCCCCAATCCCCGAGTTTCGCCCAAAAAGTTTGGCCGCTCAGAAAAATGGAAAAACCCTGGGATACACCCCAAGGGGGCTATTCGGACGCACCCCTATCGAGGATGGGCACCCCCCCATCGTATATCCCAGGGTTGGGCCCCAAATTTCTGGTCCATTCGGAAACCCCACGAAGCCTGTGATAGGGGTCGACGTATCCCTTGTTATCAAGGTCACTCTTGCACAGGGTCGCTCTGGCGTGTAGTCGAAGGGTGCCCGGTGGCAGACCACACCCTGTGCAAAAGATGTACCATTCGGAGCCGCCGAGAGGAGTGCGAGCTGCTGGGCGCGGGGGCCTTTGACCCGGAGCGCTGCGCCGTGAGGGTCGCTTCTGGGAGGCTCTTCACGGGGAGGGCCGGCAGGTGCTCTGGCGGGGCTGGGGCGAGGATGAGAAGCCGCTGCAGGGCGTTCCGGCACTTAGCTGCCTCGAGACGCCCGTTTGCATAAGCAACGGCCGTGCTGTGTTCAAAACGTCCGTGCCGATTCGCTGCGTGTTGGCTCGGCGTATTGTGGCCCACGCTCTGGCGAACGAGTGGCGTCGGACCTACCTTTCCAGTCTACGCGTTGAGCTCCGTATCAATACGCTAAGCGTTGCGTGTTGCGTATCTGGGCAGCTGAGTTCCAGAGCGCTCTTTTAGGGCGTTCCGTAAACGTTCTGAGAAGCGCGGCGCCCGGTACATCTTCCGTAGCCGCCGGATCTCAGAGATTCTCGATTCATCCTCCTCCTCCTCCCTCCTCCTCCTCCTCCCTCCTCCTCCCTCCTCCTCCCTCCTCCTCCCTCCTCCTCCCTCCTCCTCCGATGCTGTCCTCGTCCTGGCCCCGTCTCAGGTGCAGAGCGCCCTCCCGCGCGCCGCCGGAGCCCGCCTTTGGGGCCTGCGCGCTGGTGAGCAGCAGCGGCGCGCTGCTGGGCTCGGGCTGCGGCGGCGAGATCGACGGCCACGAGGCCGTCTGGCGCATGAACTCCCCCGTCGTCGCGGGCTTCCAGCAGGAGGGGAAGACACACACAGGCACAGCGCATCGTCGACTCCCCAGAAGCTATGGGAAGATCTGGGCAGTGGGGGGGAAGCCAGAAACCCAGGAAATATGGGAAACTATGGGGAATATTTTTTTTTTGTGTGTGTGTACACCTTATGCGATGCTTACGAAAACTTAAGTTTTCGGCCAGAGTCTCGATTATTCTTAATGTTTCAATGTAATTCCTAAGATCTGAATGGAAATGTTGGGTTTTTATTCGAGTTCTGAGACTATGAATTTCTTCACCCATGATTTCTTAAGCATTTCGCAGGGTGTATTTATTTGTGCGTCCCAGGGCCCCTTCACTCCAGCAGGACGTCGGGGCCCGCACGGACTTCAACGTCATGATGTCCTGGCCGGCGCGCCTCGTCGTGGGGCCGGAGGCCCCGGGCTACGAGGATCGGAGGAGGAGGAGGAGGAGGAGGAGGAGGAGGAGGAGGAGGAGGAGGAGGTGCCGATGCCGCTGCCCTTCGGCCGTTGTCCCCTGGTTGGGCCTCCCGGGCGGCCCTCGTCGCCGCCGCTGGATTCGCCTCGAAATCCTGGTCAGAACGCACCCCGGGAGAGGCCCGTGGAGTGGCCGTATCGGTACCTCTTGGTCTCCCCAGAGGAGGCCGCGGCCGTGTCTGGGGAAGTTCCAGGCAGCCGCTTCCCCTCGGTGCCGCACAGCAGTCCGCCGCGGCCGCTGGACCTGCTGAACGCGACGGCCGTGTGCTCCGGAGGCTGCGGGAGCATCTGCGGCAAGCTGATGTGCGCGAACGCCTCCAGGTGGAACGCCAGGGGGTTCCAGTGCGCGAACAACCTCTTCAACGAGGTGCTGGCGGACTTCCGGCGCACGTTTCCCTCCAAGTGGTCACGGTCGACTGGCCTCCGGACCACGTTCTTGGCAGGGGCCATGTGCTCCGAGGTGAACTTGTACGGCTTCCGGGCGCTCCTGCCGCACCAGCCGTACCACTACTGGGAGCCCGTGGTGCAGAACGAGAGCTCGCCAGACGTCCAGGCTAGGAAGAACCACCACATTCGGGGGTTCGTAGAGGGGGGGTTTTCCCAGGGTGTGGTTAGGGGACATACCCAGCTGGATGCAAACATTTCCGTTATCGGTGCGCCGTTTTGAGCGGGTTTCTGCTAAGCCCACCTCTGCCTCTTCCCCACCTGTACGTCCCCCCGACACATGGACTTTGAGCACGCGCTGATGGACAGGCTGTCGAGGCTCCCCGCCGTGCCGCTGTGCAGGACGCTGGATCCTGCTCGCCAGCACCCGAAGGTGTGACGCCACGCGGGCCGGGAGGCGCGCGCCGTGTGCGCGCAGGGTCCGCGGCCCCATAGACGGCGGGCGTGGGAGGCCCGTGGCCGGTGGCTTCTGCTGCGACCGGCCTTGGCCTCCGAGACACGGCAGGACTGCGCGCACGCGCGCGCAGTGCAGGTGTGAGAGTGTGCGAGTGTGCGGGTGTGCAAAAGTGTGCAGGCGTATGGGTGTGTAAGCGTGTGAGGGTGTCGGTGTGTAAGTGTGTCGGCGCGTGTAAGTGTAAGCGTAAGCGTAAGCGTGAGCGTAAGCATAAGCGTAAGTGTACGTGTAAGTGTAAGTGTAAGTGTAAGTGTAAGTGTAAGTGTAAGTGTAAGCGTAAGCGTAAGCGTAAACGTGTATGTGTGTGCGTGTGTACGTGGGCGTGTGCGTGTGCGTTCGCGTGTGATGCGCGCTCGTTGTGTTGCTCAACAACTAGTCAGACGGTACGACCCCAAATTATGTTATGACTAGTTTTCCTGGCAATATCCTCATACTCCCTCCTCGTATCTCCTCCTTCTCCTCCTGCCTCATCCTTTTCATCCTGCCTCATGCTTGCTCCTCCTCGTCCTCCTCCTCCTTCTCCTCCTACCTCATCCTCCTACATCCTACTGCCCTTTCCTCCTGCGTCCTCCTTCCCATGCCTCCTCCTGCCTCCTGCCTACTGGCTCCTCCTGCCTCCTGCCTTCTCCTCCTCATGCCTCCTCCTGCCTCCTTTCCTCCTGCCTTCTGCGCCTACCTCCTCCTCCTGCCTCCTCCTCCTGCTTCCTCCTCCTCCTTCGCCTCCTCCTCGTCTTCCTCCTCCTTCTCCACATCCTCCTCCGGCCCCGTCGTCGTCCTCCTCCTCCTCCTCCTCCTCCTCCTCCTCCTCATCCTCCTTCGTGGGGCCTCCTGCCTACTCCTGGGGCTTCCTGTTGCCTCCTGGATCCTCCTGGGGCCTCTCGGGGCCTCCTGGGTCCTTCTGGGGTACTTCTGGGACCTCCTGTGGCCTCCTGGGGCTTCCTGGGGCTTTCTGGCGGCTCCAGGGCCTGCTGAAGCTTCCTCTTGCTTCCACAAGGCTGCCAGGACCTGCCCTGGCCTTCTGAGGCACCCCGAGGGCTCCCGCTCGAGATTTCCTCGCAGCTCACTGACAGACGAGGCCCCCGCTCGAGCCGTCCTGACAATCTGCTCAGGAACGAGGCTCCCGCTCGAGATCTTCTCGATATTCAAGCTCTCAGGTGAGCGACGAAAGAACATGGGGTCGAGAGCGCCGACATTCGCGCGTAAGCGTCCCGTGTAAGGGCGCGCGCGAGCGCCCCTGTTTCCAATGTAGCGTACCACGCCGTGGGCCACCGCGTAGGGTCGCATCCCATCTTGCGTGAGGCCCGCCTTTTCCCCAATCAGGGCTTGCCTCTGTAGGGGTTCTGGCGGATTCGTATGGTTAGGTGAGGTGTGCCGCCGATTTCGGCGGCGGGCCCGGGTGCCGGGGTGCCTGGGTGCCCGGGTGCCCGGGGGTGCCCGGGGGTGCCCGGGGGTGCCCGGGGGTGCCCGGGTGCCCGGGTGCCCAGCCAGGTGCCCGGGTGCCCCGGTGCCTGGTAGCCTTATAGCCCTACAGCCCCATTACCTTATAGCCTTACAGCCCGATAACCCTAAAGCCCTATCGCCCTATAGCCCTATAACCCTAGCCCTGTAGCCCTATTGCCCTATAGCCCAATAGCCCTATAGCCCTGTAGTCCTATAGCCTTATAGCCCTAAATATATAGCCCTATAGCCCGATAACCTTATAGCCCCATAGCCCTATAGCCCGATAGCCCTAAAGCCCTATAGTCCCATCGCCTTATAGCCCTGTAGCCCTATAGCTCTATAACCCCGTAGCCCTACATCCCTAAAACTTATCAGATTGTGGATTTTCTCCGTCATTATTTTTTCTAGGGGGATGAACCACCCAGACTCCGACGCTTGGCGTTTACTAAACAGCCCTGCCCTGCTCGATTCCTTCCTTGGGTGCGTTTACTGAACGGCTTCGCTCGTCGGGGTGATTCTTATGGGGGAGGATTTCTGCCCTCCATTTTTGCCGCTCAGGTGTCACCAAGCCTGTGTTCTGTACTGGTATTCCGACGGCCGCAGCGGAGATTCGCAGAGGGAGGCGCGGGCCCCGTTGGGGGAGGGGGGCTGCCGCTCGAGGCCTCTTCGCCACCGCCTCACGGACGAGTGTCTCAGTGTCTCCCCCGAGATTTCTTCAGGGAGAGTGTGTGTGTGTGCGTGTGTGCGTCTGTGCGTCTGTGCGTGTGTGCGTGCGTGCGTGTGTGCGTGTGCGTGCGTGCGTGCATGCGTGTGTGTGTGTGTGTGTGTGTGTGTGTGTGTGTGCGTGTGTGTGTGTGTGTGTGCGTGTGTGTGTGTGTGTGTGTGTGTGTGTGTGTGTGTGTGTGTGTGTTCGGTGACTTGCCTGAGCGGGCCTTGCTTCCTCTCTTCCTGTCGCGCCGGGGTCTCCTCCTCTCCTCGCGCGCACCGCGGCCCAACGTGCATCCAGCGCGCCCCACTGATGCCCGATCGCTGGAGCAGTAACTTCTGCCCAGCCGCCGACGCATATACATATACATCTACATTTATTTATATATATATATATATATAAACGTATGTATACACACATGTGTGTGTGTGTTCCCCCCGCGCGGCCGCCCTCGTCTTCTTCCTCCTTCCTTGCACGCCAGACAATTTTCCTGTCGGTTGCCCCGAATTGCCACACGCTGGAGCGGACCGCCTCTGCCTCGCCGCCGACGTGCAAAACGTGTGTGTGAGAGAGAGAGATAGAGTCGAACTCGATGGTAGGGATGGGCAGCCTTCCCAAGGGTAGCCCCTCGGATACTTGTCTTTCTGGTCCGTCCTTGGCAGCTTTGGGTGGCCAGCCCCGTTCGAAAAGCTCCGACATGGGCGTCCAAGGGGCTTGCATTTTTACCGCGCATCCTTACTACCAATTTTGGCTGTGCATGTGCGTGGGCATGGAACTATGTGAATGAGTGCGTGACTGTACGAGTGACGGCGCGATTCTCATGATTTGTGAGACTCTGTCAGACGTGCATGGCCTGCGCCTAGATGCCTCAGATGCCAGACGTGCCAGGGATGCCAGGGGTACCAGAGATGTCAGTGGTTCCAGGACGCTCAGTTGTCAGGATGCGAAGATGCCAGGATGCGAGTGCGGAGAAACGGCAGTGGACTATACTTGGCTCTGGGCATACAAACCAGTCCCAGGAGTTGAGTTCCGGGAACACTAACATCCCGAAGGGGCCTACATATTGCTCCGGACGTCAAAATCAGCTCCAGGAGTGGAATTTTGGGAGGACGAAGAGCCTGGAGTTGCTTACAGTTGACCCCAGACATGCAAAACGAGGCGTGGGAGCGGAGTTCTGGGAACACGAAGCAGCTCACGGTTGGCTCTGGGCACTTGAAATTGGCACTGGGAGTGGATCTCTGGCGATTCGATGATCACAACACCATGTTTTATCTCGACCATCCTGTGGTGTTGGGTCCTCGCTTTGAATAGACACTGCCCCGCGTTCCCCCCTGCTCACCCCTCCTCCCCCCCTCCCTCCTCCCATCCTTGCTTCTGCCATGAGCATGTCCATTTCGGCGCATCGCTCATACGCTTCGTGGCACCATAAGGAGTTCCACCAGTGGCAGGGTTGGCATGCGGTTCCCTGCCGATTTCGGCACATCCCTCACACGTTTCGCGGCCCCAATTCCAGGTCCCCCCCTCGTGAGCCGAGTCCCTTCTCCCCCTAACGTTTCCCCTCATCTTCTCCGAACCCAAGTGGCTCCGAGGGCGCGGTCTGTCGCAGGGAGTAGGCCGGTTGACTGCAGCCTGGAGCTGGCTGCTCCGTTGGGGAGGCGTCCTGTTGACGAAGGGGCGCGGGCTTCGCCCATGCCAAGAAACACCATGATTGCCTCCAGGGTGTCCTGGGTTTCTTGGGTTTCGATGGTTTTTCTTTGGGAAGCGTGGCGTTTCCACACAACAAATCAATGGACGTCCTGGTGTCTGAGGGTTGGGTTTCTTGTGGAAGGTTTCTTGTGGACTGGCCTTCACTGCACCCTCGCCATCGTCGGGCGCGTCATCGTCATCGATGTCGACGTCCTCCCAGGGGAGCCAGGGGCCCTCTCTCTGCCTGTCTTGGGGGGCGCGGGGTCAGAGAGGGCGGCCCGACAACGAGCTGAGCGCCCAGGACTGGGGGGCTCTCCGCAGCTTGCAGCTCAGCTGAGACCCCCCCTCCTGAGTCCTCATGGTCAATACCAGGCCCCACTCTGCTGCGCGTCTGGTCTCCATAGCCCCGTCACCTAGTTTGTTGAAATCGCCGGCGGAAGCAGAATGCGCCAGGATGCAAACTTGAGCCCGTGCGGTTTTTCGGACACTTCTCTTGCGTGCCTGTCCGACCCTCCGCACCCCATCAGGCGTGGGTAACGCCTCGTGTGATTCGTGAACGCGTCGTTGCTAGTGCGGCAGCGCCTGCAGGTTTGTACTGCAGGCTACATGGCCAGGATCTGCCAACCGATGGTACTCGAAGCACCTGCCCGCAGCGGTGGCACGCTGAAGGGCAGCACTTGCCACCTCACCAATAACAGTGTTTTCGGATCCCCTCGTGAGCACAACGCCGCTGACCAGGCCAAAGACAGGAAGACATTCGAGGAGGAAGCACCACACATGCAGTGGCATCCCACAGCAGCAGTGCAACCCAGTGAATGTAACAGCCCAGGGCAGGAAAACCCAGGGCCGAGGACCAGCTCTGGGAAGCGCTCGCCGAGGCAGCTCAGACATGGGAGCTCCTCGGCTTCCTGCCTGGGGAGACCAGAGCCTTGCAGGAACTTCGCGCTGTGGCAGACCAGGCTGTCCAGCCGTGTCCTTGAGGTCTGTTTGGCCACAGGGGCTCACAGGAACCTTTAGAGTTCAGCTGCGCAAGAGGACAAGCCGCTGTCCCGGCAGGTGCCACTGGGAGATTCCCTGGCCCCCAGGTTTGCAGTGGTGCACCTTGGAACATCTGAAAGGTTCCCGCCGAGCGAATTCTTACACATCACGTGGGCAGCCACGGTGCTAGCATCTGGGGGCTCTTACATGTGCTCTGAGGGATTGGCTTTGTTTCGGAGAAGAGCAAACGCCATAAACATTAAGCTTTTCGCGCTCCGCGCGGATTCCTTGAATCTGTGCTGGACCCACCCAGCGGTGCTTTCTTCTTCTATTGTTGGCCAGGATCAGGCCAACTCCACTATGTCTCCACACGTGCTGCGCGCAGGGTGCCACGTGCACAGGGTTCCAGGCTCCACACGCGTAGGAATCCACACACTGACATCACAACCATAAAGCTTTGCAGATACACATCGGAACCCCCACGCACGCACGAGCATATGGCTCCGCACACTTGGGGCTCCGAACATGTTTCCACAAAGCAGGGCTCCGGGCATACGATTTCGGGCCATAGGTCTTCGCGACGGGGCCAGTCAAACCACGAAGGCGCCTCCCGACTGGCCAGTGTTGTGCCCGAAGTGTTGCCGTTGCCGTCAAGGCAGTGGCTCCAGAAGGCCGCACGGGCCTCTCGCTGGACTGCTGCAGCTCCAGCAGCCTCGCTTTATGTCGGGCGTGTCCCCCTACCGGGGGATTTTCGACGAAAGATTCAAAATATCCCCTACATTTGCCAAAAAGGTCAAACAACTACCCCAAAAAATAGTCCCCAGACTTTTTTGGAGTATTTTCGGACTAGGGGTATTTTCAATTGTTCGTCGGAAATCCCCTTGTAGGGGGACAGGCCCGACTCAAGCCTCGCTCCGAAGTGTCGTGCCGACGTGCCGGCTTCAGGCTCCCAGGCAGCCGCCACAGCAGCGCGGGCGTCGGCACCCGCACCCCTGCCGTCCGAGCCATGGCCTCCTCGATCGCTGCCAGCCGTCGCGATCAGCTCCTGCACTGCCTGGCGAAGGGGTCCGTCGTCACCTGGCGCCTCGGCGAGGGCGAGGGGGCGGTGGAGCTGGGTGGCGCGCCACCGGGGGGTGGCGGGAGGGGGTGGGGGGGGAGGTGGCCTTCCGAGAAGGCACGGGGGTTCCTCCAGAGAGCTCGGGAGCCCCTCGGGAAGGCTGCTTTCGCCACCCACCCACCCACCCACCCCAACCCAACCGGGAGGCCCCGATTCGCACTCCATTTCCAGGAGGGGGGGGGGTCGAGGAGCATTGAAACACATTCGTGAAGCCCCTATTCCCCCCCTCCCCACCCCGAAATTCGGGTCTTCGGGTTCGGTTGGGGGGTGGTCTGGGAGGCACGTACAGTCACTGCCAGAAGCCAGGGGGGCGTCTGAGGAGCCCCCCTGCCCTCCTGGGAGCCCCGCGCGCCTTCTGAGGGGGCTCCCCCGCCCTCTCAGGTGACCCCCTCCCCCTCCCCCTCCTCCTCCTCCTCCTCCTCCTCCTCCTCCTCCTCGTCCTCTAGCCCCTGCGCGCGCCACTCCCTGTGGGCGCGCCGCCACTGAGCTCAGCGACCTGAACATCAGCGGCATCTGTGGCACCAAGCCAACCGTCGTGGTTCCACATCTTCGGTAGCAAGTCGTGGGAGCCTGGTGTACAGTCAAAAACCCTGATAAGGACGCGCGACTTTGCTCAGGGCACCCTTGCGTCCTTGCTCTCCCTTGCTCTTGCGTCCTCGAGGTTTTCGTCGTCCGCCAACCCAAAAGTCCCGACTGCGGCTTCCAAGGGTCTTGCGTCCTTACCGCGCGTCCTTCTTCGGGTTTTGGACTGTACCCTCTGCATTCCGTCTTTGGCGTCGGGCAGCGTCGACTGGCGTCTCGGAGTCGATGAGATGGCGCTCTTTTGGCGTCGGCCAGCGTCGATCAGCGTCGATCTAGCGTCGATTGGCGCCGATCTAGCGTCGACGAGTGTCGATTCGGAAGAGCCGACAAGATGATGCGGGAGGCCCCCATGCCTCGCCACCGAACACGTCCTAACTGGCTGCTGGTATACGTTGTGGGCGAGCCTCCTGGCAGCGCGGCGCCCGCCCAGATCCACACGTGCAGCCTCACGAGCGGGCGCACGGTCGAGTCGTGGTCGGGCCACCAGCTCGGGCGGTCCATCTCTCACCTGGTCTGGGCCGACGCCTGCGGGTGCCTGGTCTCGGGATCGACGGACGGCACCTGCCGCCTGTGGGACATGGCCGGCGGCAGCCGGCGGGTCTACGCGACGGGGCGCACGAAGAAGGGCTTCCTGGGCGACCCTCCGGACCCGGAGGAGATCAGCCAGATCGCCGTGAGGGGCAGGAGCCTCTTCGTGGCCACCAGGGGCGGGTCCATCGACGCAGTGGACGTCGCCGGCGGAGCCGCGCCGAAGACCCTCCTGCCGCTGTGGAAGCAGCGGATCCTCACGGACGTTCCTCTGCGCGCGATCGAGAAGTACCAGGAGGATCAGAAGAAGCGGGCGTCGAGCAAGGCGAGGAGGGCTCCGAGGGAAGACGCGGACTCGGACGACGAGCCAGAGGAACTGCAGGTGTGGGGCGAAGGCGATCCCAACGACAAGAGCGAGCTGGCTAAAAGGGCCGGCGACCATGACAACGGCATCAGCCAAATGGTACTGCTTGAGGGCGGTGCCGTGGCTGCGACAACTTCAGGGGGCGAGATCCTGGTCACTGGCGCTGATCTCGGACACCACGAGAGCCTGCTCATCTTCAGCAAGTCGTACGGTGGATCGCTCGCTGTTGGACAGTCGGGCGGCGAGGTGCGATTGTTCACTGGCAACAGGGGCTACGATGCGAAAAAGTATGAGGTGGTGATGCTCAGCGTGGGCCCTCTGACTCAGTTGAGGCGTATCGGATTGGACGGCAACAACATGGTCACACGACTGCACTGGTCGAAGGCTGCGGGCAGGCTGTTCGTCGCTCAAGGGGACAAGGGGCTGTACTCGATAGGCGCGGAGGCCTCCGAACCCTCCTTGGTTTTCCTTTCGGAGGAGCACCCAGACTCCATGGACAACGAGGAGGTCTTGGGCTTTGTCGAGGCCCGCGGGCAGGTCTGCGCCCGCACCACCTTCGGGCGCGTGCGCCGCTTCGCGGGGCAGGCGGAAGGCAGCGTCGAGGAGCTGGAGCCCCTGCACGTCAGGCGGATCGCAGGTATCGTCGGCCGCGTCAAGATCCGCGTTGCCCGCCCCTCGGGCACGCTCATCAGCCTGCGGGGCGGCTACGACGACTACAAATTGGACGTCGCGCTGTTGGGAGGCACAACGTGGACCAGGCACGCCCGCTTGCCGTTGGTGGACGGCAGCGGCACAGAAGTCGAGGTCGTCAAGGGTGGCGAGCCGGGGGGGGGCATGGGCCACCCGGGCAACTATCGTGTGAACGACCAAGATGGCAACGAGATGCTCCTCGGGCGTGAAGAGATTGGCGGCCTGATGCGTCTGAAAACGGGCTGGCCGCCGGCTTTCCTCGAGCATCTCGAGGCTCCCGAGGGCAGCATGGTGCTGGTGGGAGGTGAACTGGGGGGCCTGATCGAGTACCAGTCGGCGGCGAGCAATGGGGGGAAACAAGAAGGCGAAGGCTTTCTCGGAAGGCGGCGGGGCTTCTCAGAAGGCCAGAGGCCTTCTGAGAGGTTCTCTGCGTCTTCGGGGAAGGCCCAGAAAGCTTCGCAGGGAGCCGTGGGACTTCAATCCTTCTGAGAAGGCCTGCCCCTTCTCGCTTCCCCCCGGGCCCGCCGCCGAGCCAGCCGCGGCCAGGAGACATCTCCTGCTGGTTGTCCAGGGGCTTCGAGGGCGGGCGGCTCGTCACCGGGTGCGACGTCAGCCTGTGCGCCACGGGCGCCTGTGCTGCGTGGGACGCCGAGGGCACGCTGATCCTGGTGCTCGCCCGGGCCGGGTCCTGGGTGTACTCCTGGGCGTCGCGGGCGCTCCATGGTGACCTGAAGACTGCACCCCTGTCCAGGCCAGTCCGCGTGGAGTCGCGCGATCCGCGAGCGCTCGTGGCGGCCTGGCAGTCGGAGAGGCTGCTGGTCATCGACCTCAGGGCCGTGGCAGTGGTCCGTCAGCTTCTTCTGTCGGAGGTTGCCGCGCCGCGTGTTTTCGTGTCTGCCCCTGGCGCGCGCCTCTTCGGCTTCACTGCCGCAGACGCCAAGGCCACGAGAGGCACCCTCGGCGTGTGGAGCATCGCCGACTTCATCGCTGTCACGGAGGCGCCAGAGGATCCGAAGGAGTGCCCGATCACCGTACGGATGGGCGAGACAGAGTCAATAACGTCAATTGTGCTCATCGTTGATGTCGGCCTCTTGGCAGCCCACTCCAAGGTTCCCGATGGGATTTCCGTGTGGGACACCCATACGGGCGCTCATTTGTATCGCGTGTGGCCCACGCAGATAGGCACCGCGCTCGTGATTCACAAGGGCCTTGGCGAGCACAGCATCCTCTGGTCCTCTACTGGCGGTGAGGTGGGACATATTGCGTGGAACAAATGGACGTCACAGATAAAGATTGTCAAAGCTGAGGATGGTGCTCCAGGTTTCGCAATGAAGGATCACGCTATGATGGTTGTCGAGACTGCGCTTTTCTTATCCAGCGGCCTTCGCCCCATCCTGTCACCGTGCCTGGGTTGTTGGTCAACGTGCAGTGGCAACGATTGAAGGTCGCAATGTATGCCAGCCGCGTCCCTGCTCTACGGAGGGCTCCCTGGAGCATGGCTGGGAACATGTGGCGGTTTCGTGTGGCGTGGGTGGGTCTCCGAGGGGCCTCTTGGCGGCGTCATGGGGGGCACTGGACCGGCCCACTTGGGCTCTTGGGGGCCCTTTTAAAACGACGCGAAGATCGGGACAAGATCGGATCGGGATAACTCGAAATCTCTGAGAATCGGCGGGTTTGGAGGACGTATTGGGCGCCGCGGCCGCTCCAGAGCGTTCCGGAACGCTCTGAGAGCGCTCCGGAACGCTCTGGGGCGATTTATCCCGATCCTGGCCCTGTTTTTCCTTTGGGGTTCCCTGGGCCCACTCGGGGGCCCGCGGGGTCCTTCACCACGGGGCCCGTGCTGGGCCTCGCGACCACGTTCGACCGGGAGGGAGACGGCGGGCTCCCAAAAAGCGATGCCCCCGGAGTCCGTTCGCGTGCTCCCTTGTGTGCACGCCTCTCGGAGCTGCCTGCTGGGAGCCGTCTGTATGTTTCCGCCCGCCGTTTCTGGGCCTCGCGAAGAGGCACGCGACTACTCCAGATTTCGTACTAAAGGGAGGGGGGTCTGGACTCTCCAAGACAAGCCATTTCAGACCTCCCCCGTGGGGGAACCCTCCAAAAGATCGTCCCCAGACCCCCCAGGCCCTCCAAGATAGCCTGGAAGAGACCCCCCCCCGAAATGAGACCCCCCTCCCTTTATTACGAAATCTGGAGTAGCCACGCTGCGGACCGTCAGTGACCTGAGAGCGCTCCACTGCGTGCCAGGGGCACAGCGGCGGATCCAGCAAGTACCAGCTGATATCGTTTTGCATCCCGTATGTGGCCGAGTCCAGTGGGCGCCGCCTTCCAGCCGTCGATGAAGGCATGGAGCCTTCGGCAGCCTTCCCTTGGCCAGACCTCTTTCACACAGGGCCCGTTCAGTGGGCCGCAAAGATTGGTGCCTGCTTGCGGTGGGGCATTGCCATTCAGGTGCCGTACATGACGCAGTTGTGCGTTGCCAGTGGTCTTGTTGTCACGTTCGCATGGATGTTCTATGTGCAGGAAGCCGTCGAGGCCAGAGCGTACCTTCATCCAGAATCTTGCTTGTGGCCGAAAGTCTTTGCACTCATGCAACTGATTGTCAAGGCGATCGTATCAGTTGCGACCTTACCACTGTTCACTATATTTATGTACTCGGCGGCTTGCGACGGGGATGTCTTGATGATGGACACTTCCATCGAGTGTGGAAATGCCGCGCATGCTGGCCTCATGGCCCTTTCCGCCCTCAGTCTTCTAGTCCTCGGCGTTTTCACTGTTCGCTACTTCCGTGTGGATCAGGAGCTTCGTAACATCGATGCGAGGTGGAACTTGTTCGACGTCTCTGGCGACACCGTGCCCACCACCAGGACGCCGAAACACGCGTTGTTTACCGTGTCTCGAACATACGCGCTGGCGGAGATCGCAGTCAAGTACGCGTTCAATTTGGTGCGCAGGTTTTGTAGCACTAGCATTCTGGGCGGTGTGCTGAATTGCGCGCTGGCGCTGGCGATGTGCAGCCTGTCTGTCTGGGCCAGCCCGCTGCCGGAGCGGCAGAGTCTGCACTGGCTCCAGCCCAACCAGCTGCTCTTTGCCGTCCAGGCGGGCGTGGCGTGGGTCTTCGTGATCTGGATCCTCGCCGCCCTGATCGCCGAGGGGCACCTGGAGAGGGGCGCGTGGCTCGACTGCGCGCCGCCCTCGCTGCTCCTGGTCTGCCCCTGCGCCCTGCTCTCCCGGGCGGCGCTGCGGCGGAGGCCGCACCGCTGCTGGGGCCGCGGGCCGCGCGGCTCAGGCCGGCGGCGAGTCCGCGGGGGGGAGGAGCGGCGCCTCGCCGGAGCGGCCTCGGGCCACCGCCCAGCAGGCCACCCCCACCGACCACCCGAAGGCCCCGACGTGCCCTCCACTTCCAGTGGTGTGGGCGGGGGGGTCGGGGACACTGAAGGGCCACGTGCGGAACCCGTGCCCCCCCCAACCCGAAGGTCGGGGCTTCGGGTTCGGTTGGGGTGGTCTGGCAGGTAGTCATTTGGTGCGGGCTCACGGGGGCCCCCCGATCGTTGAGCGCGATGCGATAGTGGCTGCCTGCGCGCTTGGAGTTGGCCACCTCGCGCCCACTTCAGCCGCGCACGAAAGGTCACTCTTTCCTAGGGGGTCGCTCTGCCGTGTAGCCGAAGTGAGACGGGGCGGGCCCTCTCAGAAGGCTTGGAAGCCCCCTGGCCTTTGAGAAGTTATCTGAGCCTTCCCCGAAGACAAACATAACTGCTCAGAAGGCCCGACGGCTTCTGAGAAGCCCCACCCCCCTCGCTCGGAAGCCCCCTCGGCCATCTGAGATATTTCCGCAGCCTTGCGCGAAGACGCAGAAAATTTCTCAGAAGGCCCGACGGCTGCGGGTGGCACCCGGCTCTTCCACGGGAGCGGCTGTGGCCCCTTTGAGGGGAACCATATCCGACACGCTAATGAAAAAGACTGCCCAAGGGCTTCTGAGAGGCCCCGCCGCCTTCCGAGAAGGCCTCCTTCTCACTTCCCCCCCTCGCTCGCCGCCGATCAGGGGCAGGCTCGCCAGAGGACCAGGATGCTGTCGCTGCACCCCTGCTGCCGGCCTGTCAGGGCTGAGGTCGCGCGCGCGCGCCAGGTCGCGCCATGCCCCGGAGAACGTGGGCGGCAGGCTGTTGCGGGTGCAGCTTCGGCGGCAGGGTTTGGCATTGCCGCGCCCTGCGCTGCCTGCACACGATCTCCAGCCGCCGCGCCACCAGAGTCTTGCCAGGCTTCTGGGGAGCGCGCCTGGGGCCCCTCGTGATGCCAAGTACGTATGCCCTCTTTTGGAAGGCGCCTCGTTTCTGAGCTCGAGTGGTTGAGCATCAGCTCTTTGCATCGCTCGGACGTGTGCATTTTTGCTTCGGCGGGGACCATCGAGGAGCATCCTTGATCATTTGGCGAAAAAGCCACGCACGAAACCGAACAAAAACACACGGAATGGACGTCCGAGCGATGGCCAGAGCTCGGCTGCCAGCATAGGTTCACTTCAGGCTCGTGCCCCGTAGCTCCCCCTGGCCAGGCCGGTCCGTGCGCCGGCGTCAGCGGGCGTACGGCCACAACACGCTGAGTGCGTTCTGCGCTTGTCGCCTGCCTCCGCGCGTGATGATGTTCACGGCGGGGGTGCTGAGGAAAGAGTGCGCCCAGGTCGCTGCAGACCCTGGAGGATCTCTCATGCGATGTGGGCGGCGGTGATATCCACGGCCAGGCCTCAGTTAGAGTTCCACCGGCCTCCAGACCCTTGTCCAGTGCCCCCACCGTAGTCGCTCGAATGCGCACCCCCCAGGCATGCAGGCATCTGCAGAAAGAGAGAGAGAGAGAGAATTCACGATGTGCCGACCCGAGGCCACGAAGAGCCGCAGAGGTCGCCCCGTCTTCAGTGACATCTTGCAGCCGGACGGTTCGCTCCCGCCAGGGGCTGCGTGCGCCCGCGTGCCGGTGACCCGCTGTTCACACACGTTCTGCTATTGCTGTTGCCTCTCCTCCTCCTCCTCCTCCTCCCCCTCCTCCTCCTCCTCCTCCTCCTCCTCCTCCTCCTCCTCCTCCTCCTCCTCCTCCTCCTCCCCCTCCTCCTCCTCTCTCCCCTCCTCCTCCTCTCCTCCTCTCCTTCCTCCTCCTCCTCCTCCTCATCCTCCCCGTTCCTCCTCCTTCTCTTCCTCCTCCTCCTCCTCCTCCTCCTCCCACGTCCTGCTATTGCTGTTGCCTCTCCTCCTCCTCCCCTTTCCTCCTCCTCCTCCTCCTCCTTCTCCTACTCCTCCTCCTCCTCCCCCTCCTCCCCCTTCCCCCTCCTCCTCTTCCTTCCTCCTTCTCCTTCTCCTCGTCGTTATCCTCCTCGTTTTCCTCCTTGTCCTCACGGTGCATCAGGAAGCCTTGAAATGGAGGGGGTCTCGCGGGCGGGAGGTGGGTGGGTTCCCAAAGGATCGACTACACGTAACAGTGACCTTTCGCCGGAGTGGCCTTTGGTGCGGGGCCCCCGGGGTCTTGTGCGCTTGCGTTCGGGCCCCCCAGGGAAGCCGCGCCCCAAAGGCCACTCTTACCCAGGGTCGCTCCCGCGTGTAGCCGACTCGGGAGCGGAGATGCAGGGTTGGAGTGGGCGGCGGTGGCGGGGGTGGGAGGGCAGGGCAGGGCGGGCGGGGGGAGAGCCCAGCTGTCCACCGCCAAGGACACATGTCACGGTGGCAGGGCTCCTCCGCGATTTCGGCGTCGGGGCCCCGCCTCTGGGGCCGTCAGGCAAGCGGCCCGGACGAGAAGCCGGTCCCAGAGAGAAGCGGTCGAGAGTCCAGGTGGCCCACGTAACGAAAAGGTCGTGGCGCCAGAGGTCTGAGAAGAGGGAGGGAGCAGGGAATGGGGGGAGGAAGCCGAGAGGGGAGGTTGCGTGGAAGCCCCTCCTCCCGTCGCGCCTGGTCCAGGCGCTTGCCAAGTCGTCGGTAGGTAGAGCTGCTGGGACTGCCTTGCTCCGCGCTGTCTTCCGTGATCGCCCCTTGCATCATTCTGGTGTGCTGACACATCCTTGCTTGTTTTGCGTTTCGACCCGAACGCGTTCTGGGCAATTAGCCTGTCCACGCCACTCTGTTGTAGTTGTGATGATTATGATGACCCAGCAGAGCCACATTCACGGAAAGTTGGCGTACCAGTTTCCAGATCGGGGTTCTACCATTTTTCACTCCCAAGAGGGAGTATGCCCTAGCACCTTACACTTCTCCCTCCCGGTTGCACCACGGCTTCCCGCTCGACCCTACTCCAACAGTTAGGCGCCAACCTTCCGAACTCCAGAGGGGTAGCGAGGGGAAGTTCTCCATAGAAGACCATCTACTCTAGACGCTTCGGTATCCCCACCAGCGCATCCGGAAAGGATGCCCAGACGAGTTGCCCTGATCAGGGATGTGGAGGAGCATGCAGTGTAATAAAGGGCTTGGTAGACGGTCGTCCCGCCCAAGAGGCGAGCTTGACGGAGGAATTGGGAGAGTGTTGAGGGGAAGGGGGAGGGCGGAGGGATGAGGAATGATGATGAATAAGTGCAGATGATGAGGATGAGATGATGCATGATGTTGATGATGTGCTGCTGATGATGATGGTGGTGTGATGATGATGCTGGATGTATGATGCTAATGGCTGCTGCTATGATTGATGATGATGATGCGGGAATGATGATGATGATGATGATGATGATGATTGATGATGATGCTGATTATGATGCTGATGCTGCTGATGATAGTGATGAGTATGATGAAGGAGATTTTGCTGCTGATGATGATGCTGATGATGATGCTGATGCTGCTGCTGATGAATCATGATGATGGTGACGACGGTAACGACGATTCTGATGATACTGATGATGCTGATGATTGATGATTGATGTTTGATGATGACTTTGATTATGATGATGATGCTGATGATGATGATGA